ATATCTCAATCAAGAGTAGCTCATTGCATGGAAGCCTTCGTTTGTTAAAAACATGGGCTGTTCCTATAGTTACAACACAAGGCTAGGTTAGGCCAATGTGTTACTACTGACCTGGTAAAACTTTTGATTCTAGATAGAGTAGTATGTTATTGTTGGAGTAGCAGAAAGATAGAATTGTTTTCCTTTTCCACAAGAATAATGTTCATAATGATTAGCCCCACCCCAACAGGGAAACTCATGGCTCTAAAGGGGCGTGTGTCTCCAAATAGCCTTTTTTTGGTTTTGTTCTTGTTTCCTTGTTTTACGCCTTCTGCAGTAACTCACTCTTTGGATTCCTGGGTCTGCAATTCAAGAATATTCTGAATGAAAGTGGGGTTGACAGTGTTTTTGATTTACATTAGAAATAGTTTACTGTGGGAAGAACATTTGTGGGAAGTAAATTCTAAAGCATTTTTTAGCGACAAGGTAGATGAGGTAATATCTTTTATTGAACCAACTTCTGTTGGTGGAAACTACAATTTTTCAAGCTACGCAGAGCTCTTCTTCAGGTCTGGCAAAGGAAATCAGAGTGGCTGAGCTAAATACAAGTTGGGAAAGAGTGTTAAATATAACCTGTAATGCATGTTGTAGGAGGCCACTTGAAAGGAAGTGGGCAGTGAGAGATTAACAATGCAGTATTTAAAGTTGAATTTTATTTCTCAGAAGTCAGGGCATATAAGGGTTACAATTATTTTAGGATTTGCATAGGTTAGAAAAAGAGGGTATGATTAGGTTGCAGTGAGCTAACTACTTTTCCCCTATAGACACTAATTAACACTTATTTGACCATAGGGGTCACTTGGCTGAAACAGTTACAGTTAAGGTTCCAAAAAGTTTCCATTTTACTAGCTTGTTTTAAGAAATTTGTATCTTTCTGGAATATTGCCCTTGCTTGCTTCCTTATAAAGGGTGGGAGGGTCTTTTGAGAGAGAAAGTGTGTTCGAACAAAATCACTTTGTGACTTGAGTAAGTGAACTTTAGTAGCTTTACAGAGTTCATAAACCCTCCAGTGAAGTTTGTAATATATGTAAGATGGATAGGGTCAGGTTTTTTTTCTTTCCCTTTCCTTTCTCTTAAAATCCTCCCGCTCCACAAAACCAAACAAGGAACCTCTAGAATAATGTTTTGAGCCACAGTTGTGAATATCTTCTATGTGTGATAACCCAGCAGGGAGAATCATGACCAGATCTCCTGATACATAGCAAGCTATTTATCAGAAATAAATTAAAATGTTGTTTTATATATATGATATACACTTGGGGCACCAGAACTGTAAGCCACTATGTTACCCTTCTGCCTCAGCAAGAGAGCTTTGCTGGAACTTTTACTCCCACATCAGTCTGTCTGTCTCACCAGTAAACTCCTCCAGACTCTCTCTGTCAGTCTAAACCTTGCCTTGTAGGTAACATTCAGTGAACCCCACTTCCCCCGAGATGTGTCTTTGCGGTGTCCAGTCCCTTTTTCACTGATCATTCACAGAAATTACCAAGTCTGCTGCCTCCAAAGAAACTGCACACACTAGCCTGTCAGTTTAGCTGAGGGTCCATGTTTTACTTTAATACACGGCCCTGAGATTGTTTATAGTAAAACTAGGCACAAGGTTATTAATGAAGACATGGATTTAAGTGATACTAAGCAAGAGAAAAAGAGACTGATATGGTTATAAACAAAAATCACACGCTTTCTAGTGTCTAAAATTTAATTTTAGCAGGCTATATTTTTTGGCTTAGCAGCTTTCTTACTTACATTGACCTATCAGCATCTCTAGCTCCTCATGCAGGAGAATCCACGATTCACAGAATCGGAGGGTGCTGATCCCTGTGTTCCCTCAGTAATGGATAACACAGGAGTCCCCTTTCTTCCATTTGTTTAACCCAGAAAACATATGAAATGTATTCTTTGAAAAGTTAACCCAGACAAAATTCCTCTTCCATGCTGCTTGTTCTTCCGGGTGCAGGCACCAAGCCCCTTCTTCATCCTCCGCTCAACTTGCTTTCTGGATTGGTTTGATCCCTTTGTTTGTGTAAGATGCAAATGTGCTCTCATTGTCCTTTGCTTGCAATTAAGTCGTGCTGTTTTCTCATCGGCCTGTTAGCTTGATCCCTGCAGAAAGGGAGATGCACATTCCTTTGTCAAGTAGTTTATCAACTCCTTGCACAATATGTTTTAAGAACATATATTTCCAGCACTCAGACCCAACTTTTTATCTGCAGCCATATGTACATCGCACAGTGATATTCATGACTTGTGTGTCACCAGTTTATGTATGATACCTTGCAAAACATTGAGTAAATATTCTGACTGTGTTGGGTGCTTCCTTTGCCACTTGGCATAAAGGGGCTTGTCAAGGCT